GCGGATTGAGTGAGGCCTATTGACATTCCCTGCTGCTTCCGTAATTCGCCGCAATGTGCTTTAGGTGTTGGTTCAGGATTGTCTTTTAGATGCAATCGTCTTCCTCCAGATCCTATCAGTCTTTCTCTGGCTCTCTTGGATCCATCTGTTTTCTTCATAGTTCGATAAACTCGCTCGATAAACTCCACTATTTATCTATTGCTCTTCTATCTATAATGCCAAGTCTATGAGTTTCCTATGACTTACTCTCTTCTGTGCCGACCCCATTGAGATGATTATATTCGATTTGTGGAGGCTCACTGCAGACATCTTCACTTTATTTTCTATCGTTCTTCTGTGGGCTCCTCACAATTTGTTTGCCCAAAAGTAAAAAGAATTTCTTGCTCTTGTCGCCTTCTTTTTATCGATCTGTTGTTCCCCGATATCTGCTGAGTTTTCTTAGACAATATGCAAGGTTTTCACAAATCCTACTTTCCTTAAGTCCTTTGTTTATTTAGCTAAGCAAGTAAGATATTTTGATAGCGAAGGAGTAATATGAGATATAGGATAAATGAATAAACCAGGACAGAAAAAAGATGCCACCACTATTTTTTAGATAATTGGTCAAAGAATCGACTCCACTTGTCTTTGACGATTTTAGTGTGGTGCCATAAATAGTAATGCTCATTAGCAGTGCCGAGTATGATTCCGGCAATACGTCTGGCAATGCACCAACCCCGAATCTGAAAATTATCGTGCATAAAATGGATTCCGGACATGGTGTGCACCTTTAGATCTCTTTGACAATATTATTAAGTTGAGAAATCAATTCAAACAACTTCCCTAAAAACGATAGATGACCTTGGCTATACTTAAGACCACATCAGCTTAGCCTTCATACCTTCTCTAATAAACTTTATATAGTCCACGGCGAGTTGGTTCGATCGTACTTACAATACTTCGGTATGATGTATAATTGGTGTATGATTGGTGTAAAGTAAATTGTGGTTCACTACTTGTTTCTGATGGCAAAAACCCGATCTCATTATTTCACATTACGATTGGTCACTTTATTGGATTCTATTCCGCTTATTTGAATAAGTAGATCTATTTGACTTATGCTATTATAAACATTAGAACAAAGAACTTTATTAAGAAATCGGATATATCATTAAATTATTTTTAAAATGTCCTATTAATTGAATATTTGTCTCTGGAAAACTCTAATCTCCAATAAGATGGGCCAATAAACATATGCTTAAGTTGAAAGAATTTTTTCCTTTATAAGCTTGGCCTGCATTGGAATTATATATTAATCTCTTAAAAAATATGTTTATATTAAACCTTATATCTATCTTGATGGTAAAGCAAATAACTAGATATAACGTATTTATGATGTATATTATTAGTATTAATTAAATGAGTTACAATATTTCTATGAAACATCATTTATTTCATTACAGATGCAGTCAAATATATACGATGCTGTGAGTGATGTTCGCATGGAGCAGAGTTACTTTCAACACCGAATTGATACTCTCGAGGCAAATCTAATAAAACTTCAGGTGAAATTGGATAATTCCTAGGCATAAAATTGTTGATATTGATTGAAACATTATCTATCATTTTAGCAAGAGAATGTATAAATTGGAAAAAAATCTGCGCTGCATGAGAATACTTACTAATTAATTTATGGTTACTTTAAGAGTCATACTGTAATTGGGAAAGGAATTAGTGTAGATCTCTCAAAGAAGTGGCATTTAGAGTTATCAGATCATTACTCAAGTAAATAATAAAACGCGGACTCTATAGTGAAGAATAAATGAAACTATTTTTAATTTATATTAGAGCCGCAAAATTAGTTAAATAATATAACATGCTTTATATGCTAAAAAATAGATTGCCCTAAGCGAAATAATGCCTATCTCATAAGCAAATTAGTAATGAGATAGAGTTCTAGTAATTATAATTAAACTTTAAAAGACTTCAAATAAAAGGAAGAGACATACGTTCGCCTTGTCTTTTCTTAGTGAATCTTCTATCTAGAAATTTAATCAGTGGCATTTGTTACTTTGCTCAAATATTAAATAAAAATATATATATATATATATCAACTCGTGAAATTTTCCAGAAATTAAATGAATTTTTAATTTATTTTCATTTGGCCATTTATGTTTTATTGTACTTGTCTAAAAGTACTTGATGTATGTCCTGAATTAAGAAACTTGGTAGGAATCTAATTCAAAATTATATTCTAGAAGTCTATTTTTAGCGGCTGGTGTTATTACTTATGATAAACAAATAGCAGAGGATAGTTTCCTAACTTACCATTAATGGTTTTTTCTTAGGCTTTAAACTCTCTGCTATTTAATTTTAATGATTATACTTTTTTATTTGGTCCGTCGTATCTTTCATTTATCCTTTTTGCCTAAAGTGCCAGTCATCCATATAAATTTTCCACATTATTTTTCCCCTAAGTCACCATCACTTTGTCTTTGATGAATTGGTAAAAGAATTAATTTTTCTTAAATTACCGTCAAGACTTTCCTGCCTCTAACGTCAGTAAAATCATTTACACCTCAACCACCCTCAGGGTCTTGATAAGCTTTAAAAAACATAAATAAGTAGAAGTTAAAACAAGTTAATTATTCATATTAAGGATAAATAAATGTGTACGATATCTTCAGATCTCCTTATAAAAATTAAAAAGGGTGAAGCAAAGTTTTATTAATCATTTTAGTTATTCTATTGCTATGAAATATGAATATGCCACCAATACTTGGTGAAATTGCTTTTGAGGACGAAGGTTGTTAACAATATAAAACATTAGCCCTGGGTTTAGACATTTATATTTAATGCTTTATTATTTTGAAAGCTGTATTCACCATACCTCGATTAGAGTAATAGTTATGCCATTCGTATATAAAATAATGGATACAATTCCTTCATGCCCAGATCGTATTTTTATTGATAATAATTTAAAGATTCTTTTAATTGCTTTTAAAATGTTTCTAAAAAAATTATAAAGTTCATAAGAATAGGTATATACATATATATACGTCTGAATAATATATTTTAGATTTCTAATGACAATGGGCAAGATAGTGACAGAATATAAGTTAATCAAAAATCATTTATTTTAGAGGGATATTTAAAAAATACAGATTTAAAAAAAAACTCTTTTACTATATCAAGCGTATTATTCAAGTGAAATAGAATGAAAATGATCCATCGTTTATGTATTCTGAGTTTGATGGCTGGCAGAAGAAGATGAGTGGGATTGGGCTACCCTGATGTTCTTATATCCGCCCTTATTTGAGTCCACTATCTATAATTCATTAGATGCCTTATGATATTTTCTCGCTTTACCAAATAATTTAATTTATTCTGAAGCCTAGCCAACATAATAGATAATTACGCCTATATGATTATCATTAATTAATTTTACGTGTACTAAAAGATATAGATGGTTCTTGGTTCAGAGTATGGGGATCATATGTGCTGTGGCAGCAATACGAATAATGCCTATTAATAACTATTAGCAATCATTTTCCAATAAAAGTTCTTTATTTTCAAATTATACTTCCTCCTTTAAAGGCAAATATAAATTAAATGCATTTATAATCTAAATTAATGAACTTCTCATTCTTGAAAGCGTGTTAGCTATACCAATTGATTGGAAATGCATGATAGCAATTATCCTTAGGAATTCATATAATAAAATTAACTACGCCTTCATAGTTTAATTTCATTTAAACAATGTATAAACAGTCCAATTTTTTAGTTTATTGGTTAAAACCTGGTATAATGTTAGGTTTAAGTCGTTTACATAAGTAAGAGATTTTTATGTGCCCATAATAATGAGAAGCATGTTTCAAAACTTGAAATTGGCATTTTTAATTTGTGATTTTGTTGAATAGTAATTAGTCTAAAGGAAAGCATGCAAAAATTTTATAAATTATCATTCATATAGATTTTATGTAATTTTCAAGATAATTATCTAAAAGCATAGTTGTTTTGAAGTTGAAGCCACATATTCCTTATTTTTAGAATTTAGTATTGTTTTCGTGACTATCAGTAAATCGGTAATATGAGATGTATTCACCCGATCTCGTTTAAGGTGATGAACGACTGGTGGAAGAAGAATTTCCCCACAATAATATGAGTTGAGCTGACGTTTTCAATGAATTTCACATAGCCTTGCTTTCATTGGAAACGTCAGCTCAACTCATATCATTGTGGGAAAATTCTTCTTCTACCAGTCCTTCATCACCTTAAACGAAATTAGGCGAATAGATCTCATATTAGTGATTTACTGGTAGTCACGAATACAATACTTGATTCGAAAAATAAAGTATAGTAGTCGATTGTTATAGCATATATACGTTTGCTTCATCGACAATTCCACCAAAAGAATATGATATGACAAAAGGCCTGGCCTTTCATAAA